CCAGGGTGATGGTCTTGCCCGTCAAGGTCTTCACGAAGATCTGCATGGTCTGTCACCAAATAAAAAAACAAAACAAAACGAATACAAAAAACCCAAGATTGTAATAAACAACTCACATGTGAATACATCTCTAGCGTTAAAAGTTATAAGTCATCTTATAAGGGCCCAGTGACTAAAATAAACCTTGCCGGGGGCGCCTGGGTGGCGCAGTAGGTTAAGCGTCCGACTTCAGCCAGGTCACGATCTCGTGCTCCGTGAGTTCGAGCCCCACGTCAGGCTCTGGGCTGATGGCTCAGAGCCTGGAGCCTGTTTCCGATTCTGTGTCTCCCTCTCTCTCTGCCCCTCCCCCGTTCATGCTCTCTCTCTCTCTGTCCCAAAAATAAATAAAAACGTTGAAAAAAATTTTTTTTTAAATAAACCTTGCCTGAGAAAAGAAACCCAACCAGGGGGATGCCGGTGACTCAAACCGTTAAGCACCGCCTCTTGGTTTCAGCTCAAGTCATGAACTAAGTGTTTCATGAGATTGAGCCCCAGCACTGAGCCAGCTTGGGATGCTCTCGCTCTCCCTCTCTCGGTCCCTCCCAACATGCTCTGGCTCCAAATAAATAACCATAAAAAACAAACAAAACAGAACAAAAAAAGCTCAACAGCCCCGTTTCAGGCCCTGAGAGGATCCCAGCCAAATGAAGGTGCTGTCTCGCCTCTCTTCCACTCCCCCTTCCCCCCCCCACTGATGTCTGTCCCCTGACGATTCTGCAGGGTCTCCCCCAGGCCCAAACCTTGTGTCCCGTGAGTGACAAAAGCGAGCTACACAAACGGCAGTGGGCGGCCCCACCCTGGATTGTGAGCCCACACGGGGGTGACATCACGTGACCGACGGAGCGGGCGCGGGGCCGCGCAGGGTGGCACCGTCCCCGTAGCTTCCCCTCACTGCGACCAGAAACCCAGTCTCGTGCCAGCTCGGCCACCAGACATTAGACGCCCCCCCCCCCAACCGGCCCCGCCGCGCACGGAGCCACAGCAAAGAGCCGTTAAAGCCTCACGGGCCCGTCGCGCTCTCTTCCGCTCCCAACCCCCTCCCCGCGTCTTCTCCCTCCAACCTCACAGCCCCGCTTATCCCACCCAGGCAGCGGGCACGGCCGCCATTTTGCTTCGTCCCTGCCCCTCAGAACCGCCCTGCTCGCCGGCCGCGTCGACTAAGACTCGGCTGCCGCTCCGCCGCCGGCGCGCCGCACGACCACAAGACCCCCGAGCCGGGTAGCGGCCCGCTCCTCACCAAGCGACTGTGGCGGCGACTCACACCGAAGAGCAGCAAAGGAACTCCCGGCCTCCACGGAACTGCCTACGCCACACCCGGCACCTCCTTATATAGCACTCGGTGGAACGGCTCCGCTGGATCCCTCCGCAGAAACGCCGAGAACGGACTACTTTTCTCCGCCTTCCTACCCCGCCCCGGACAGAAAAGGCAGTACCCCAGATCATCGAAGGGCCGCCCCCCGTAGTGATTTCCCGTGGAGACCGGGCGGCAGGGGAGAATCTGAGGAGGAGGGGGCCGCTGTGCTCGGCGCCCTCGCGGAGGGATCAGCGCGACTGTTGAGTGCGGCGTCCGCGGACGTGGCCGGCGCTCGACCTACGGGGCGGGGCGGGGCCGCGGGAGGTGCGAAAACCCGGCGTGGATTCTCCCGGGCGCCCGGAGCGGGCTCGGCCTCGACGCCCCCGTCCCCGTCCCCTCAGCCCGAACGGTCCCCGCCGCTGCCGAGACCCGCCCCTGACGCAGGGGGCTCAGGCCTCACGCGCCCCTCCCCCTCCGCGGACAGAGGGGTTTTCGTGAGGGGCCACGTTGAGGATCGCGGCGTGTTCGCGTGTCACCAGAACCCCCGTGCCCCTCCCCCACCCACCCCACCCCCGCCGGGGCAGCTGCCCATCCCCCGCGCGGGCGCCTTGACAGGACGGATGACTCGACAGAACGGGCGCGGGCGCCGGGGGCACCTACGCGGGCGGAGGCGGGGCCGCCCTTGCTTCCCCCCCCCCCCCCCCCCCCCCGCCTGGGGTCGTCGGGGAAGCGCCGCTGGCCCCTCACGCTTCGTGAACCTGCGTGAGGTGCCTCCGGACACCGAAAGAACTTTCTAGATTGTTCTTGAGCCGTCCTGTTGCATGGACACGGCCTTGGGTTTGAGAAGATTGTACTTAGATACCGACAGGAAGGCCTCAGGTTTCCATTCTTGTTGATGATACTCAGTGGAGCAGGAAGTGGAACCTACTGAAAGCTGAAGTTTCAAAAACACCGACCGAGTTCCTGTATATTGGGGGGGGGGGGGCAATTTGATATCCCAAACATGAAATTTCATTGTATGCTAAATTCCATTTGGATAAAAGAGAACAAGATTACCAGCCAGATATTTTTATTTTTACTATCCTCCATTTTGTGATCTCTGTGAGTCCTTTCTTAGCATATTTTTTTATTTTATTTTATTTTATTTTATTTTATTTTATTTTATTTTATT